GGGCTTGCGCGGTCGATAAATATAACGGGTTCGGAGAAGCGCGTGTGTTGCGGGGGCCCGGCGCAGTCAGTGGTTTCGGCACATCGCGGCGCTCCTGTGCCCGTGCTGACTATGGGTACAGGGCTCTTTTGACTGGTGGGGTTAGGTGCCCCATGGTATATGATAGGTAGTGAAGAAGCAATGGCAGGAGCGGTCTCGGTGCTTGTCACCGGTTGGCTACCAAGGCGAACGAGGAAGAAAAAAAAGGTATAACGTAGGGAAGGGAGTGATTTGAAAAAAAGAATTAACTGTGGAAGAGGAAGGAATGCCGGGGGTATCTCGGGACGTAACAATAAATATATATATATATATATTTGGAAGGCTATGGAGGCTGTACTATCAAAGGGATTGACGAAAAACATTGGGATTAGTAATTTTAATTTTGAGCAACTTACGAGACTGCTCGAAAATACGACTGTGAAACCTGTATTACGAATCAGGTAGGTTATATATATATGTATATATATTTTAACCAAAGAAATGTTATATCAACCACCTGTGATCCCAATTTTGTTTTTACTTCGTTTAAAATGCAATGTAGAACGGGTAATAAGGGCTGGCATCCGAACTGAAAATAAAGACAAAATCATTAGTGTATTACATCGTGTGACCACGGAATATTTTCTTTCTCTCTCTCTCTCTGATCGAATATCACTTTTACAGGTAATAAGCAAGACTCACTCAAACAAGCAACACATTCTTCGGTGACAATTTAAAGTATCGATATATTCGACCTCTTCGGATTTTAATTTAAAGTCGAATATTTTACTGTTTTCAAGCATTCCTGTGACCGAATTTGGTATCACTATGTGATCACGTTCCAACTAAAAAGATAATTACTTTGAACTTGATTGACTCTACTGTATTCACAGACGTTGACGATTATCAACGACCAGATGTTCGGGAAGGGGAGCTGACAATGCTCTAATATACCTGATAACGTAAGAGTATCTGCGCAGGTGTCTTGCCATATTTTATGCAAATCAGATATAATATTTCATCTTCCAGCAGTTTCCGATCGTCCGGCTTGGCCCATGGTCTTTGTTGATCCGAGTGGATTGTAGGCTGTAATAAGGATGCCCTTCTCCTTGCAAAAGTTTGACAGTTCCTTTTGCGTTAGATACGGATGACATTCGATCTATACGAGAAAATATAGTTGAACCAACAACACCTTTTTTTTTTATATATACACTGATACATATTGAATAACGGTGAAATAGATAATGTAAGTAATAGCGCATATTGAATTATGAATTCTTTTCGTCGACAGCGTCTTTATCAACAACCGCGCTGCTCGCATACTCTTAACCTACCCGATTCGTAACAAGTTTTACCGTCGTATTTCCGAGCAGTCTCGTAATTTGCTCAGAATTAAAATTACTAATCCCAATGTTTCTCGTCAATCCTTTGGATAGTACAGCCTCCATAGCCTTCCAAGTATCGACATAATCTAGATCGCTCAGAGTGATACTACCATCAGCATTTTTTTGAAGAAGATGAACACCTTCTTTAAATCCAATTGGCCAGTGCATCAAGTAGAGATCTAGGTAATCAAGACCAAGATTAGCCAGCGTCCGTTTGATGGCTGGTTCGACCAGATCAGGTCTGTGGAAAGTATTCCACAGTTTGCTAGTTACGAATAGATCCTCTCTCTTTACAA